TCAACTCTCAACTACAGGCTTGATAGGCAATGCCATTGTGGCCCAAGAGTTAGCTCCTAGGACACACTCTACCAACCACTAGCCTGCTGTGGGTCTGGACAAATGACAGTCTCTTAGAACCTTGCTGTCCTGTTTGTGTCCCATGCTTGTGTTTTAAGGACAGAATGAAAATTAGGTATATGAAAGCCTTTTGTAATTTATTGAAACACCATGTAATCATGAGCTATCTGGTGTTGTTAATAAACATCCCAACAGTTTACATGGTGGGCAGACAAAAATGAAAGGAAGAAAAAAGGGGGCCAAGAAGATGGCTCAGTGGAATAAGTGCTTCCCTGGCAAGTGCAAGGGCCTGAGTTCAATCCCCGGTTTCACCAAAAAAAAAAGCAAGAAAGGAAGAAAACAAAAGCAGACCTCTGATGTTAGCAAGGATGCATAGTGCCACAGTATCACGATTCCAACTGTGTGGCTCATCCAACCAACTGTGTTAGGCATGCTCTGGTTTTAAAAGGGTGAGGATAAGGGCTTCAGGGCTCTTCTAAATTAAGAGTCCCTGCAACTGTCAATCAAACTGGAGAACTTTACCACCTTTCATTCTTCCAAGGATGCCCTGCAGTGATGTCACCCCTGATTTCTGGCTGAAGAAACTGAAGTTTAGGGATATTAGGTTACCAGCCCACAGTAACATGGCTAAAAAAAAAATGGAAATGGAATTTATATTGCTGTAGAGTTGCAGGCTTCCCACCACCAGAACCCATGCTTGTAACCACGTATCCTAGCCCCCGTCCCTGTTCCTATCCCTCTCCCTTTTCTTCGTTACTTCCAAAATCAACTGTGGTACTTCTGGGCTAGATTCTGTGCAAGGCAGGGGTTTTGCCTCTACTTGTCCTTTGTGCTGCTCCTCACCACACCCTGCTAACCACAAGGAACCCTGCCCTATTTCTGTGCTCAAATGCTTTGACAAACCTGATCCTGGGGTGTGCAGTCAGCAAACTGAAAGGGTGGTACTCAGATTAGGGACACCACGCATGGCTTCTTCTCCTCCAATTCCCATTGTTTGGGAGTAATTGTAGGATTTCCAAGTTAGCCAATAATGAGTAATATTCCGCCAGGCTCATGGCTTTGGCATGCAGATGCACTTTTCTACAAGCTGGGAGGACTAATCCCTATTTGGCACTGCCCTGGTTATTCTTAGTCATGGAGTTTTAGAATGTCTTAGCAAGTGCTGAGAGTGATGTATCCGGACCACAGTGGAGGCCTTCATCAGTGCGAATATGTATGGTACATAGCTTTTTTCCCCCTGGTTGGAAGAACTGTTTTACTGTCTAGCAGCCCAGTTTTTGTTATGAGCGAGATCAGGGGGTTCCAGTACAGTATCTGTGGTCCACTGTGGTTTACAGCAAGGATCCTCTCCTGGGCAGTGATAATATCCCATGCTCCTCGCATTCTAAGTTACGTCTTCCTGCAGATGCTGTGCAAGCAGACCCCAACCCATATATATGTCTTCTGTTTTTATTAGGCATCTACTGCACTGAGGGAGCTTTGCTTTATGGTCATGGAGATTCTACCAAAGCTTCAGGTAAAGCTGAAATAGTAATTTGTTTATAGACCAAAAAAGAAAAGAAAAAAAAAAAAGGAAAGAAAAGAAAAATACCCTAAAAATTCTTGGAATTCCTCCTGGAAGAAAAACTGCTCCACTTGGAAAACATGCCAAGAACAAAAAGACATAATGACTTTTGGATAAAAAATAAATACTTCAGCTTCTCTGATAATTTCAGTTCATATGAATGGAGTTTATGTTTATTGAAATGGGAAATCATAAGTCTCCTTCAAGTATAAAATGTGTCTAGTCTGATAGGAATTTGTGGCAATATTGCCTCAATTTTTCTTGCTGACTCATACCACAGTTGGAGACCACATTCATCTTTCTCAGCTACAAAGTATGTCTTACTCCTTGGAGATTAGGGCACTATATTTGGTCAGAATAGGATAGTAAGAATGCAAAATCAGGGCCGGCCAAATAGCTCCCTGGCAGGCACAGGGGTTCAATCCCCCAGCCTATCATGCTGACCCCTCCTCTGGGGCATGCTGAGACTGGGCATGGTGGTGCACACCTGTAATTCCAGCTCTTGGGAGGCTGGAAAAAGGCCGATCACTATGAGTCTGATCTAGTAGTGAGACCATGAACACCCTGTAGACTCTTCCCTAGAAATACAAAAAGAAAAAGAAAAAGAATGCGAAAGCAGCTGAGAGTCTAGTTCAGTAGAGCACTTGCTGAGTATGTTTGAGGCTATGGGCTTGATCCCCAGGCATAAAAGGCAAAAATAAGACAGCACACTGTACTGTTGATATCAATTTAAAAGTTATATACTTATTTACATATTTGGGTTCTTACCCATTTTGTTGTGCTGGAAAACTTTGTTCTACATAAAGGAAAGTGGCAACTTGAATAACGACATAAGCACCATACCTTATTGTCTGTTCTTGATTTTAGAAATTTATGGATAAATTTATTTTCAAATTACCATGCTAAACAGACTCAGGTTTAGAATTCTGTTTTTTC